CTGATATCAAAATTCTTGCATATTTTGGAGAGTGCTACATCCAATTGTTCCTATATAAATGAAGGGGAAAAAATGTGATAAATACTTAATAAAAACAGGCCAAGTAATACATTATTTAAACAACAACAAGTGAGGAAAAGCAATCTAATACTTATGCTTGTACAAAGCTGTGCATTACTGGACTATTTTGAGGTGCTCAAATGTTACGTCCTGCAGCACCTCCATCTGAAATTCCTGTCAACCAAACAGTTCCACCTTTTCCAAGAACAAGCATGGTAAAAAGTACACTAACTCACTGAAGTAAAATTCCAAGTGATGCTTACTTCGAGAAGGTCTAGCACCACAATATGGGAGAGCTGGGATTTTGAACTTGGGCTGCTCCCACTCCTAAGAAAAACCCAGATCTGGGGAAAAAAAATTAAAATGCTCCATGGGTGTCTGAGCCCAAGCAATTCAACTCTAGACTTTTTAACCCTCTGACAACTGCCATCTATTTAAATAGAATTAACACTGTTGCACTTAAAAGTTCATTGTGAGGTAATTTATGGAGTATTATATCAGCACAATGAGCAGTACCATAGGAGAAGATTACACACACAAAATTACTAGTTCTGCCAGGAGAGCTATCTGAGCATACTGAACAGCTTTGCAATAAATGAAGTTAATCTATTATGTGCACTGAATGAAAAAAAAAAACAAACACTAAAATAGGATCATATACTTAATGACTAACTAATAAGGTTTCTGAGAAATAGACCATGTAGTTTAATAACATAATTCTCACTTAGATGTTGTAATACATTCTGACACGCACAACCTAACTCAAGTTATTATTTTCAACCAACAATGCAAGAAAACAGGAATCAATAACAGATGTTAACACACGCACACGCAGGTAGCAGATACTTTCTCTCCTTGCTAGTTACTAAATCTATTGCAATTCTTATTATTTAAGAACCTTGCAATGTAGCCTTGCTCTTCCAAATAGAAACTGAAGATGCATCTTTAGTTCCTTTGTACTTTTACTTACTTAGCTAGAAAATTTTCATTAATTACTTCATTAGCCACAAAATATTTATGGGTTTCAATCCTAGAACTTTGGTGGGGGGGTTTTGGTTGCTCTTGGGTTTGGTGGTGTGTGTTTCATTTTATCTCCAAATAAAAGAGTAGAATACAATCAAATACTGCATTTTTTCCTGAGCAAAATGGTAAAAGAACAAGTAACCTAAAGACTCAGAACTTCTTTAAAGCGTTACTCAGCAATTTGAATTTCAGCCATATAGTGATTTTATATTTTCCTTCTCCAATTTAATGTAGGACAGCTGTACAGAGAAGCAGAGATATCAAACTGCCTTTGAACTCAAGCTCTTAAACACAGAGCACATTCATTTCAACTACATTTTTCAATTATTCCTTTCTCTACAGCCACTTTACATTTTATTTCTAACATAGTATAAAAGGTCACTGCGAAAACCTAAATTACAAAAAGAAAAACAACAAAAATATAAAACATAAAAAATAGAATGGACATAAGCAGAGGCATTCAACTATTGATAAGACTCATTATTAAAATGTTAATTAGCAGAATATGATTTTGTATGAACTAGAGCATGTATTTCATAGAACACCCTACAAATCCCAGGCTGACTTACATTCTCCCATACATATGGACATAATTCTAGCAAAAAACAAGATACTTTCACAGGATGGAAATTAGATGCTCCCATAAATTCACAAATAATAAACAAAAATCTTGAATATGATTATTTGTCTAACTTCAAATTTCTATCACCAACCAACATGGCATATTTTACCAGATTTTAGTACTAGCAGAATTTGCATTGCAAAGCTGTCACTGGAAGGAAGATGCGTGTCTCCTTTTAGGCACCTTCAATGTTTGCTCACAAGGAATAAATGGCACATAAAGGAAAGCAACAGGAATGGAAGGCAAGTGATATTACAAAAAAAAGATGAGTTTAATGGCTGGCCTATATGATAGTGAGAAGAAAACAGTCATTTCATTAGGTCTTTTGAAACAGCCATGCTTTGAATAGATCATGTATCAGTGAAAGAGCAAAAGAACAAAGAAAAGCTTTGCAAGAAAGCAAACGTAGAAGGGCATAAATGAAGGAAACTTATTAAAGTTCTAATTGTACAGGGAATTTAATAATAAGATATGATAATACATGCACCAATCTGGCTTTCTAAAGAGCACATGACCAGAGGCATACAAAGCTTCTGGGGGAGCTAATTCAGTTTCCTGCTATGCTCTGCCAAGTGTATGCATTACATGCACTACATATGTATTATACATATCTACATTACTAGACTTCTTAGAAAAAGCTTGCCAACTTCCAGCTGAAAATTACATAGTAATGGAGTTAAAAGGACTCCTATTGCTCTTTTTTTTTTTTTTTGCCATCACTTTCCAGCAACACACTATTTTTTACTCATTTGCTTTTGCAATACTATCTACCAACTTAAACTTTCACCTGTCTTAGTGGCATCTTTTCCAGCTATTCAAGTCTTACTTCGAATGGCTGAGCACTGGTTCCATCCAGCAGTTACCAGTTTGCTCACCTCTGAAATTTCCAGCGAAATTGTCATAGTAGCTTATATGAACCCATTGGCATACTGCTAGTTTACTTTTCACTGCTATGAAGGAGTAGTCCAAAAGATTCCTAGCAGCTCACGGACTGAAAACCACCATGCATCTTCACCACTCAGGGAGCACACCTTTGCACCAGTACTTTAAATGTTATGTGCCTATTTTATTTGACTGCTTTACCATTTACAGTGGGCACATACGTTTTATCACGTGCTACAGAGCATTTAAGTTGACTGCAGCACAAAAGGCTACATGAATAGCAATGACTATAGCATTCTAAAGACGGTATTTGAAAGAAACATGCATGTTCTGTAATTGCTAATAACATTGCATTAGAAAGCTCTAATATCTAGAGCTTAAATACTGACTTACAGGAAACATCAATATATTCGATCTTACCTCTATTTGTTCCAAGGTGTCTTGCAGTTTTGAATTCAACTCACTGTTAATGGAAAAAAAATGTTTAAATCAAACTACCGATTATATTAACATTCCTCTCCAAGTTCCTTGTTTCCAAAAAACACGCCTGCCTGCTACCACACCACAACAGTAACTTATCATGAATCATTAACCTGCTGTTAATGTGTCAGACTGGCATCACCACACTACTGTTACTACTGAAAGGCACTTGCTGCAAGCATTTGCAGTACTCCTAATAATTCAGATTAAAATGTCTGTGGCAGCAGGGCATTAAACTAGGTTTACAATGCAACAGCGTTAAGAGCCCAGACAAGACCCCAGCCTGCTAGGATGTAGCCAATCATTCAAAGGCATTCCCAACTGCCAAGAAACAAATGCTCTAAATGTTCTGATTTGGCACACTGGTCTAAAGCAGAACATAACCAGAAAGGTAAGGACTATCAGGTCCTTGCAAACCATGGTATAGTAATTTTTACTTGTTGCACAGGAACCCCTAACAGAAACACTGGAGGAAAAAAATAATTTAAATTTACACAACTCTTCAGAAATTTTTTTTCATTTCTCTGAGCTATATTAGGCAATTACAAAAATAGTTACCATAAGAGAAACTAGGACAAAGAAAGACACAACTGCTCCTTTCCAACAATCAGCTTTAAAAATTTCAGAACACCAGCCAGAAAATATGACAACTATGTTCAGTTTGGAAGGACTGAAGAAACTAAGAAAAAGGCAGGATATTCTCTTCAGCATGGAGAGCACAGAGTTTTCATGGGATAATCACCGTACTTGATTTTAGACAACTTAATTCTATACTCTGAATCTTCTAAGGGAACTATATTAACTATTAAAAGATAGATTCTTGCTTCCCTACCTTATTCTCTCAGCTTAAATGATAGGCCCATAATCCCATCATGCTAACGTTTATGAGCATTTCCTGTAACTCAGTTCTTTTAGGTAGCAAGAATATATTAGAACCTGAGTACAAAACTTGCTATGCACTGAATCACTCCTTTTCTCACCTTTAGAACCAGGTACAGAAGTAACCAGAGTAGCCAGAGTCATCCTATTACCCGATACTATGTTTTCCTACAGGTTTTTCAAGGGAGTCTAATCAGAACTTATCAGCAAGTAGAAGGCAAAAGACATTCATTTATATTTTTAAACAAAAATTAATCACATAATGCAAGTCTTCCCTAGGAAGAAGAGAATGGAGAACAAATATAATAGAGTGTTATTTCAAACAAGGATGAGCAGCCACTCTTAAAACCAAAGAAGTCAGCAGGGAAGCTGAAGTGTTCGTCTCTTCAGATTATGTATACCCCAAATTAAATCAATTACATGCTTCAGAGAAAGGTTTAAATCCCTTTCTGTTTCAGAGCTACATCTAATTCATACCACCATCTAGCAAGAAAAATGTGAAGAATGGTTCTTGTCATATGGACAGCATCAAAGGGATTCTGTGAAAATTTCATAGTACAATACAGAGGTGATGCCTCATATAAGCACTTTAAAAATGCTAGCATGTCTTTTTTCTTGACTAGCTCTTTTTCACTGCAGTCTTAAATAGAAACACAAAATATTCATTTGGTTCCTTTAGCCCAACCCCCTGCTAGTGAGACATTATTCTATACAATACCTATTCTCTCAGACTTCTGCAAGTAAAACAGTACAGAGAGACTGAAATGTATGTGCTGAGTCTAGGATTTACAGCTTAAGTGCCCTTCTGCTTTCACAATGCAAACAAGAACAAGCTCAAAAAAAATATCTCTCAGAGTAAAGAAGCACTGCTGATTTTTTTCTGCCATGCTTTCAGTAAACTGCCTTCTTGGGTGCATGGATATCCTTTTGAGTGCAACAACAAATTAAATCCTCATAGCTATTTGTCAGGTAACTTGTCAGCATGCTATCACATTTAAAACAGTATTACTTTTGCAGTTAAATATTCTAAATGGCAAAGCTGTGAACTGTTAAAGTTCCAAATTTTGCTTTACTGGACATAGTACAGCTATGAAACTCCAGTAAAAGCTTGAAGTGATTCAACATTAAACAGAAACCTTCATGTCATTTGCACAGAACAGAATTTAAGACAAATAAACTGTGATTTAACCTAAATCTCAAAACAGCAAGGTTTTACAGATGAGCACCGCAAGACCCTTAAGAAATCAAGCTGCCTTTTCAAGCTGAATAAATGCTGCTAACTTCTCTAAAAGAAAGGAGATACGCAGAATAAATCAGAGCATCTGAAAGAGCAATAAATACCAAGGAGAGCTTACTGAACAGTACAGATGAGACACAGGTATGGAAGACTGAAAGACCCATCTCTCTGCAGAAGGTAGTCAAGCAGAGCAAAAGTTGTTCAGGAGTAATCTTGCTTATCAACAACTACATTGTCAAGGACTAAGAGAAATCACCATAATTTTTCCTCATTCAAATAAATAAAGAATAGTTTTTATCACTACTACATAAGGAAGGCATTCAAACTGTTTATATAGGCAAATATTGCCTGTATTCCACACAAGTTTTATGGAATTAAAAAGAAAGCAAAAAGCAGCCTTGAATCTGACATCAGAATGGAAAGGGGTTTATTTCCAGATTCAATTTCTACCTTCATCCACTTTTCGGTGCGTCTTCAGATCCTGAAACAACTATACCTCAAAAGCAGATCCTGAACTGAAATTGCGGATTATGGCTAATTACTAAGAAGTTGCAAGGAAGAGAACAGAGCACGTTTTCACAAATTTTGGCCCTTCTAAGCCAGAGATTATGCGACAGGAGATCAAACAATGGCAGAATTTTACCCACTAATTTAAAATTCTAATTAAAATTATCAAAAAATAAAATCTAATTATCTTCTTCATGCATGAAACATTACAATTCACTTCATTTTACTCCTTTATTGTCATACCTATTATGACTTTGAACTTAATGTTTACCCAATTATTATTTTTTTGTCTTTCTAAAAGCAATGGAAACATCAAGTCTTCCTAAGGTAGGAACTGCAGATATTCAGATTAGTTCCGGTTCTGAAAGCAATTTCTCCATGACAGCATGAAGCTCTGGACTTGCTAATTTCATTGCCAAGAATCAGGGTGAGTTATCCTACACAAGCCAACTTGCTGAATGTAAATTAACTTCTGGGGAAAAAAATTGCTTATTGAAAAATTAGCTCAGGTTGTAGCACAGTTACAATTCAAGTCTTAGTTGAAACCTGTCAACATACTACAATGGTTACAAAACAATGACACAGTCGAAATATAGATTATATAGTGTTATGATTGTGAAAACTGGTTAGTAGTGGTATGAGAAGGGCTGAAACTACTGAGGATGCTTTTGCTTTTATAAGTGCCTAATTTTTACTTTTCTAAGCAGAAAATTAAATTTCAACCAAAGCCACTTTAGAGAATGAGAATTAATGATCAATGTTTCATACCATTTACAAATAAAATCATACAGAATCTGAAATCTGCACAGTATCACCTTACCTGATACAACTGTAGTGTTTGAAAGTGCTGGCAGCTTTCTGGCATTCCAAGCACAGCTGAATAGCCCCTGGATAGTCCTCTTCCTTAGGACAGAATACAACGGAAACAATTTGGCTTTTGAATCAAACACTACAACACTCACTTTTGCTTACAAGCTTATGTATAAACACTCAGAACAAAATATTTTGCCTCTCAGGTCTATATAGTAGTTAAAGGAAATGTGTGCGGGTCTATTGCAGAAGTTAATGCACAAGCAGCTTAGAACTGGAAACAGCATCTTAGCAACATCTGAAAACACTATGTATTACATTACCTTATAGAAATTACTCTCTGTTTTGTTTCCTTATGCATTCATACAAAACTTATCAGGAAGTTTTTATTACAAAACAACTAACAGCTTCCCAGTTAACCTTCAAACCTTCGTTAATACTGTATGATTAACTCATAAGCAAGAAAAGACGTAAGTTCAGGCACCTGCAGGCTGTTGCCACAGTCTACAAAACATTAAAAAAAAAGGGAGACACTCCAAAATTATTCCCAAATAAGCACCAGTTAATTGGACACGTTCTATAGCTAATTAGAAATTAATTTAAAGACAAACGGCTCACACAAAGCCCCAGGACAAAAAGAATATACTTTAGGGGGAAAAAAAAAAAAGGAAATACTGTCCTCTAATTTATAAGAAGAATAACCAGTAAGTACACAAATCAATCAGGAAGTACACAAAGAAGCCAGGACAAAACCAAAACAAAAACATACACACAAAAATGTAAAACCCCAAGATCTTGCCAACAGAAAATGGACAGTGTCTTAGGTATAACTCCTATTGTAGTATCGTATTACATGTGAGACCAGAAAGGCTCTTGGGAGGAATAAAAACCCTCTTTAAAAGCTAAAAGCTTCCTTTTTTTGTCCTAGTTACATTAGTTATATGACATGATTCAGAGAGCTCAAATGCAAAGCTGTTACTGGAAGATCACAGTCATTGATTGAAAAGTAAAAACATAAGGACAATTTATATTAGGCTATTACCATAAAGGAGTTTCTGAAATGAAATTTATTTTAACAAGAGCATTCTAATGCAGATCAAGATTAGCTAAAAACACAAAAGAAACCCCACACGTTGTCCATTAGAAGAAAACATGACATTGGTCTAAAATGATTGCTCCATTTAGAGCTCTTTGCATCTTTCTCCATTGGAAACCTGGTACTTGCTCCATTAAGTCTAACAGAACTCAAATGAGAAAGCCTTACCAATATAGTCCAGATGCAGCTCACCCCTGTAAGTTATTATAGCTTTGTGTCTGTTCGTTTTTTAATTGAGAACCCTTATCTAAATGTTCCTCTATGAATGGTTACTAATAGCTCTCATGCATATTCCAAGCTACTAACTTCTTCTTGGCCAATATCTGAGATACTTTATTGGGAATTGACATTGAGCACAGCTCTAAAACTGCACTTAGCCAGAGAGGGCACCTTTAAAAATCCCTGGCAAATTATGATAATCACACATTAGGATCTGTATGTGAATGCAACACCCAGATCTCTGTTTCTACACAACTCCCCCCACCAGTAAATGGGGAAGAGCTGATTTTCTGTGCAACAAAATACAGCACAGAAAATAAAAGCAAATCACTGTACAGGGCTTACTAAGCAGAAGGCCATATTTATGCAGCCTGTAAATTACTACATTCTTGCTCGGTGAAGAGTAAGAAAATGTGCTAAGACATGGTGTATTACCCAAGATGGAATTAAACTCAAAGAATCTAAAGAGTTATAATTATTAAGACTCAAATTTCCAATTTTAATAATTAGGGATTATCATTATGGTGTCCCATCCAGTATTAGTTGTAAATACTTGGCAAATCAGCAAGTCAAGGTTGTTACATTACTATTAAAATACAGTTGTCAATAAAACCTGAAACTCTTTCGTATAATTAATCACAGTAAGACAAGATCTTATTTTTGCTCTGTGTGGAGCCTACTGCATTTTCATGTAATATACATTCTGTATGCATAGAATTTTCAGTGTCATGGCCTGCATGTAGCAATTTTTTCTAAAGCTGACTAATAAAAAGGCAACCCAACGAATAAGGACAGTGGCTACTCCACTTACAATTAAATTCCTAAGTAGGGAGCCCCTATCTAAATTTATACCATAATATATCAGTAGAAGTACATTATCCAGGCACACTGTATCACTAATCAACTAAATCTTACCTTTTTTCTTCCAAATATCAAGTGAAGGCCAGGTAAAAAGCTTAAGTCGAGGGTAGGGAGGGGAGTAGCACTTCACAGCACTCTTACTGAGCTAAGTCAAGCTTCAGTGTCCATTTCTAAAGGCAGAATTGGGTCTTTGACAGAAAATACTCCCCCCTCTGGCACAGGACCCATCTAATTTGATTTGACCCACAACATTTAAAAAAACAATCAAAAGGTAATTTATACACACAGACACATAAAGCCTGTTTGCAAGAGGAAGGAAAGAGGACAAAATTAAGATGATTGACAGAAGTGCATTCAGAATTGCTTCAAATTGTAACAGTCTGGCAGAGACTTACCTCCAACATCTCACTCAAACGCACATCAGTTCTTTGCTAAAAAAAAACCAAAAGAACAAAAACAAAAAACAGTGATAACTACACAGAAATGAAGAAAACTATTTTGCCATTGAACAAAATCAACAGTACCTACCAGTGTTTTTATTGTTCTCAGAGATTTCAGCAGTCCAATAAGCAACTGTCGTTTCCTTTGATTTGCAAGAAGCCCCAAACTAGTTTGTGTGAAGCCTTCCTTTGCTACATTCAGGTGTCTGCAAAAGTTAAAAATTCACATAATCCTGACCAAATATAAAGTAAAACTTATTTTGAATAAATTCTAACAAGTCCGTCAGAATATGTGCTAGAAAACAAGATAGTCAGCATTCTTAGGGAAACCCAGAAGTTGAGATTATACCAACAGACTACTAGAATGGTACGTTTTCCCTTCTGCAGAACTTGTATGTGGATCAATGGTGTAGCTCAAAAGATTCTTCTTTTAAAGACAACTCGCAATTGGAAAAGTAAGGGCTGCAAGAGAGAAAGCAGTTCATATTTGTTTCAGTATATTTAACTACTATTGCTAACTCTATTCAGCACAGACGTAGCATCACCAAGGCAATTTCCTGGGTTTACAGATTTCTTCTTACATACTTTTTCCCGCTTTCAATCTCTGCCACTATTTAAGCAAGATACCTTCTTCCATTTGTGCAGATAACAGCTGCTAGCTGAAGGCCAGTCTGCAATGATGTAACACGTTCAAGTTCCTACAGAAAGACAACAGGTTAAATAAAATACAAAGTCCTGCTACACACCAGCAAAGACCAGTGATTAGTAGGTTTCTCTTGAGATGTTTTAATGACTTTGTAGAGCTACTACACATATTTGTTTCATCATTTTATATATGCTAAACATTAGAATGTAATATTAAAATATACTATATTTTAAAATGCAATTCTCTTTTGAAGAAAGATATTGGAAATCGATTTTCATTGCAGCAGGACCCTCTACATTGATATACTGTACATGCAGCCTAAGAATCTCTATGCCATTAATGTACCACGGCAGAATAATCAAAGCTTCAGGGATAGAAGCATAAGGATTCGTTTCCATCAATACACCAGAGAGCAGCAAAACAAAACAAAAATAATGTTTCACAAAGCATTTTCTAGTTTAGAAGCACTTGTGTTCTACAGATTTAACAGACGTCACTTCATAATGAACATTAATTGTATCTTGTTGAATTTCAGCTGAAAACTCTTCAGCACAGGTGAACTGAATTTAGCTTAATTGTGACTTCCTGAAGTGCCTACCACAGTCTCAAAACCTTAAAAAAAAAAAAAGTACCTATTATGATTTCTTTTGTTAGGAACAGCACTGCACAAAAGTGAATGCTTTCTACAAACTGAAGAAAAAAAATAAATTCATACTTGTTTTTTTCAATACTGCTCAGCATTTTAAAACATATCAAGTGCTTCCATGAGAAGAAGGGAGACTTACTTTGAAAACTACTCTAATTCTAAAGACACAAAAAGCAGGAACAAGTTTAAAGTTTAGTTCAGTTTAAGATCAGCTCCTGGTCAGTTTCCAAAGATACAAGTAATTCTGACAAACTACTGAGCATCATCCTTTACCAACAACAGTTCCTCCATTAAGTTATCAACATTCCTTTTGGAAAATGACAGCTTAGTTGCCAATACGCATAATATCTTAAGAAGCCAAATTAAAGGATTACTTTCCTCAGTACCTACTTCTCACTAATAACATTCTTTGTAAATGTCAGTGCTATTCCAAAGGCTATTGGTCCATTTTTCATGAGGAAACACATACAATAAGGAGCAACTCCATTCCAGTCTTGCCTCTTGCAAAAATTCTGCAAAACACCTTTGAATGTGGGAGAGGCACAGAGAGTTCAGCCTAATGGGCCCTAAAGACAGAATCTTCTGTTGAGCATTTAGGGTTGAACACATTTTTCTCTTCTCAAAGACAATCTTCTACCCATTGTTTGTTCCTAAAGCACACCTTTCCTTCTAAGGAGAAGGAAAAATAATAAATCCTTTGTCTTGTGTCTGTGTCATGTCTCCCTCTCTGCCCATAGTAATGTCTCTTAGACCACTACTTCATACTAGAAATGGGCTATAAACCAATGACTTACTCACACATTCCTTTGCACAGTGGCAACATGTTGAAGAGACAGAGTCAACTGATTTTTTGCTATTCTAATGACCTATTATTGTAGTAAGACACTGAACTGGAGATGCCATTACAAAGTACCTGCAGCACATCAGCAGTGGAAAGGTGAGTTCTATGATGCCCACCAGAAATCTCTGGCAAGTAAGTGTACTGATAAGAATAACTCTGTGCAAGCCTGGGCCCATAAGTAACACTTAAGGATTATTGACTTAATCAGCAAATATGCATTTGAGATTCCTACTGGCATGATGGATATTTAACTGGCTCTTTGGAACTTCTTGGTATAAAACACACGGACCTCACTAAGATTTCACTGGGATAAGAATATTAACATTTCACAGCAAAATGCAAGAAACACACTCTCCACAGCACTACTACGCATTGAAAGGGGGTTTTCAAAGAGAAGCTGCTGGATTCAGAAAAAGAAGCACTCACTCAACATTATCAATTCTGAACATTCACAACAGCAAAATTATACCAGAAGGAATTGATACTGTACAGTTACTCTTTCTGCCCACCTCCACACCACCTTATGAAGACTCCACCACTGTAGCACTTACCCAGCCTCCTTCTGCAATAGCCTACCATACAAATTTTCTAACTAAAGCTGAAATAATATTACCTCTTCAGGTTTTTTTCTTCCACCAGCCATTGCAGGAGACAACACAAGCAATGTTCACCCCTCCATTTTCCCTTAAACAGCAGCACTCCTCTTTCTACCCAGCAAAGTGCCAGGGCAGATGGGACACTCACAAGGTCACTAAGGCTGGATTTATGGGCCATGAACACAAGCAAGCAGAAGAGGCAGTTGTGCCCTCTGGATGAAAAAAAGAAAGTAATTCCACCTTCATGACAACTACAGCAAGTTAACAGCCAGGAGGTCCAAACCCTCGCCTGCAGCAACAGTGTATCAGCTGAGATGCAGGAGGCACCTCCACCACCAAATGCAGCCATCATTGCCCTCCCACACTCCCTCCAGCTTCTTGACCAAAATGAGAGTTGCATAATCACAGGTATGACTATGCTTACACAAAGTACCATACACACACAGAATTATCCACCACAGGATAATTCTCAGACTACTTTGATAACAACCTCAAGTTTTCAATTTGCATAATTCTCACTGTCATTTCCTGGAAAGATCAAGTAAAATCAGGCAGAGCTGATTGAACGCTAAGGGCATTAATTAAAATGAATAAGTAGAAAAAACCCCACACATTTTATTTCGACAACCATTATAATAGCTGTTCCAATTATGTTTTGGGAACAAGAAGACAAGCCATGCCAATATTCTACTGCAAGCAGCTAAAAGCAGGTTTGCTTTGTTTTGCTCTCAAGAGATTATTGACATGTTGATGCTCTATTTCCAGCTCGGTCTTCTCTGAGATGCTTTTGTCTCGTGACTTCCTGAGATTAGTGGCAGGTTTCTGGTTTAGTGCTCTTAAGGTCATTGCTGTTTTCTCTTATGGAAAAAGATCTGAAACTGTTCCTAAACAGAAATACTAGAGGACCTCCTGTTCAAGTCCATTGCAGGTAATAGTCAAGCCTGTGAATTTCTGTTCTCAGAAATCCTTCTTAGAATAATCATATGCTGAAGCCTTTATAAACCCAAGGGCCTCTAGCGCAGTATTCCCATGGCTCTTCTCACTGTACAGATACAGGTTTAGCATACACATGCAGCTAGTTCCAACCAGGCACCAGAATCTCTACTAACAAATTACTAGATTTAACCCCCAATGAAACAAGAGTAGCATTATAGCCACATATAACAGAGTGGTTTACTCTTAAGTAGTGACTGTTAGTTGACTTACCTGAACATATGCAGGCTGTTTTTCAAGAATCAAGTCTGCAACTTTCTTAGATACCTTAGAAAAAGAGTATTATATGTGATACCCAGCAATCTTGATTAAGTAGGCCATCCCTATGCTGAAATTCTATGAGTTTGTGATACTGTATCATTTAGTTATGCACTTTTCAAATTTATTAATAAATATGCCATAACAAGGTAAAAAAATGCTAAAAAATTACAATTGGCTTTTCTTAGAAGCAAAATAAGGTAAACATTTACAGTTCCACCTAGGAATTACTAGACATTTTTTAATTAATCCTTTACATCTCTGCTTGTTAAAGAACATACTAGAATAGAAAACAGAAATTCTATAGGACACTACAACTGTTTACATTCTGCTTACATTACTGCTAGCGTACAAACTTTGGTTAACCATCTACTATGGAGATCTAAGAAAGCCATAAGGATATCTGCCTTTCAGAATGATACTGTGTCAAAATGAATACTCACTCTGTGCACATTATACCCTTTTTTAGCACACAGAACATGCGTATTTTCAAATTTTCTCCATTGTTCTGAACTACTCAGTGGAAGGTTACTGAGAGCTGCTCTCTGAACTGAACCAAAAAATGGGCATTGCTTCCTTGATCAGTCTCTTGTGTGCAACCATAATTCTCAAAAACAAAAAAATTCAACAGTAACAGTCAGGGAGAAGTGGAAGATCAGAGCCCTATCACCTAGAATTCACACCTGCTTGAGTGCTTTGTGTTATAGAAATTTAGAAGATGGAATGATCTCTAAACCATTATCTAAATTAATATATCAGCTATAGATATGGACACTGACGTGTTTGACACAACACAAAAAACCACTACCCACTTTCAACATCTTTCCTTAGACCTCTTGTTGGGAAACATGGAATATTAATTTCCTCAACTTCTCACTAATACTTTACAAAATTTCATCTGCTTCTTCTGGAAAACCAATCTTAGGTAGAAGAAATTTCTTTTCTATGTATAGTTAATGAACCTATGTTCTCTTTCTGTACATTTGATTCATTTAGATACAGGAATTAAGATTATTATTACTTTACTTGCACATATTCTCCAAATGCCAGTTAATACATTCATTTCCTAAATCATATAATTCATCTTTAAAAGAGCAATGAAACAATACTTAATGTATTAATAGAAAATAAAATAGCTTTAGATGTAACAAGTACATTTCAGAAGCCGCTACTCCAATTTCCCCTCATAAATTATAGTTATTACTCTTTGTTACATTTCACTTGTTTTATTACATCATAACTCTGTACCACTATTCACTAGACACCTCTGTGGACAATTAATAAATTGGCAAATGAAAAATACAAGAAAATAGCAACTCTAAGGAAAGAGCATTTAAAAATATTAAACATAAATTAAATTTTAAAAAAGAAAAATATGTTATGTTTTGCACTGCTAGAAATCCCTCGAAAAAGATGCTACTGCAATATTCAGTGCTGTGCTGAACATTACTTTTCTTCAACATACATGGAAAAGCTGAAGATTCAGAAAATCAGGTTTTTAAAGAAACAGCACATTTCCTCTTTGTTACAATGCTTATCACTAAGATTTACTCTCATGATTTAATGTTTATATGATTTACTGATACAATTTTCTACTATAAAAGCACACAACATGATAATAATGCTTAATATCTAATGTGTTTTTAAAATCTAAACTTTTTTGGTTACACTTCTGGCTACACTTGCAGACAAAACAATAAATTGCCTGAGGGTACAGAGGAAGCAAGTTTACTTACAGCAGCTTGCTGTTGCTTTAATTTGTCTGTGTACTCTTCAAGTTCTTGAAGACTAAGTACTGGAGGAAGCCTCTGCATGTAAACAACAAAATTCAGTAAGAATGGATAATAATTTTTTTCCCCAACTATTTTGGATTTTTCACAGTAGTTTAAATTACAAAGTGTCCATTAGCACAACTGACACTAATTCTACCACATAAAAAAAAGGACTTCATACCAATACTATATGCTAGAAGCTCCACACAACCACAAGATGAAGCAGGAGGGTACAGCTTTGCATTATTGCAAGATACAAGAAAAAAAAAATTAAAAGGAGCTCATTGAAACAAGCATTCTTTTTCTTATATTACTGTACTTTATTTTAAGAAGACAATTTACCTCTAACTCATACTTCACAATATCAAAAGAGTCACTGGAAAAATAAACTTCTTCAATGCTGTCAATTACTTCTTGCTGAGCTTGAGGATCAGTTGGTTCTTCACGTAGTTCTCTGAGTTCCTCCTTCACAAAACAAAAAAGACTTCCCATGATGTAATATAATATCCTAACAAGAACAATGTTTTACCAAAACAAACATTTTTCAAAAGCCATTTGCGACGTTAGTACAAGAAGCAATGGCAAAGAACAGAAAGATCAGTACTTGGCTTGTTCTTCCCATCACAAACAGCAAGATATTTAAGACTTTTCAAAGAATACAGTGCAGACAGACTTCAGTGTTGCAGATCTGTTAAAACACTGCTTCATCAATACATTTATGGCACAAGGGCACATTGAGTTAGTAGTTTTTTTCCCCCTGAAGTTCAGATAGTCTCATATTAAATTAACAATAAATGGCCAGGCCAGTTCTCCAGAAGAAAAATAATTTTTTTTTAAAAAAAAAAAGAACACAAAAAAAAATCTGCAACTTTTAAACCAGAATAATCATCTTCGTAAAGATAAAGTAGACAATGTCACTACAAAAGCATAGCTTTTCAATTCAGAAATTGAATTTCAATTCAATTTCAATATTAAAGTGATTCAGAAATCACTTTCATAAAAGCCATGCTATTAAACACTTGAATTTTTTTAAAGGCAAAAAGAATAATACATCTGCCTTCTTTGTACAAAACAGATTTCAGATTTTTCTCTAACTAGCAGGGTTATCTAAGTATAGATGCAATGTTACCTTTCTGAAAGCTAATATTCAAGAGGTAAGCATCCCCTTCCTTGCTGTCACAATCCCCTCTGGAACTTGAACAACCCAGCTGCATCCACTGATGGCAACAAATCAAGGACTGAGCCTGAGTCTCCTCTTCCCCTCCTACACTGGATGTTTAAACTTCTTAGGTCTCTCCTGAAAGCTGTTCTCACCAAAGGAACAAAATTCCTTCATCAGACTGAAAAGGGGAAAGTGCCAGGATATTCTTTCACCAAAAATCAACATAAAACAGAGCAAACTGCTCCATATTGAGATTCAATCTCAGTGATGCAAACCAGTGGACCAAGGACTTCCTTATGGAGAGGGTGATTAGACATTGGAATGGTCTTCCTATCCCTGGATGCATTCAAGGAAAGGCTGGATGTGGCACTTAGTGCCACGGTCTAGCTGATGTGGTGGTGTTGGCGACAGGCTGGACTTGATGATCTTAAGGGTCCTTCCCAGCCTTGGTGATTCTGTGTGCAAGCGCAAAGATCCCAAGCCCACCAACAACCACTTGCTGCAGCTGGACAAGGTGCTGCTAGTTTCATCACCAAGAGCTCAAGATCTTTTTCACCAGCTAGAGGCATCAGATTTTAGATTAATTGAACAGACAACCCCCAGCTTGCAGATTCTGCACGTCAACTGAAATACGGCATACACGTCACGGGAATAAAGTAGTATGTTAAATACAAAGCCAGGTGTTTCTGTACACAGAGGCAGCCAAGGGGTCATGAGTGAAAAGTACGGACAAGCACCAGAAAGAGTCGCTGCTCCCCTAAAATAACTGACAAAATATTCACCAGGATCTTGTGTTGCTGAGCGGCGCGACCCCCTGAGCGACAGGAGCGGGACACCGGAGTCCCAGAGGCTCCGCCCGGCCCGGCAGGCCCCGCCCCGGAGGCCCCGCAGGCCCGCAGGCCCCGCAGGCCCC